ATTAACTACTATTTTGATTCTTGCAAAGGAGGGGCAATTTTTTTTTTTTTTCATGCATTGTTGCTGGTGTAACTTCTTTACAATCAGTAAGATGTTAATTAATTAGAAGTTATTGTTAACATTATTTTAAAACAATTATTATAAAAAAAAATAATAGATTATTATACATAATTTTTAATTAGATAATAATGTAAAATCATTTTACATTATCGATGCATTATTTTTTTCATACTTTGTACACAATTATTTAATTATATAATTATAATAAATATTAATTATTCGTTTAAATATATATAGACAAAAATATTTTATATATTATTTTTTAAAATTTTATTCTTACATATGATTTTACTAAATATTACATTATTTAAGTGATGATATATGTTAAAAAAATGTTAAAATTTAATAATTATTAAACATCAAATTGATAATAAAATTAAAATTTTATATTTAAAAAAAATATATCTTTTATTTTAAAATAGAGAAATTAAAATTGTAGATTGCGAAAAATAAAAATACTAAAATTATAATTTAGGAAAGTATATTTGAATCATGAGAATATGGTGTAAAATAGTCTTCTTTCAACTCTTTGTATAATAATAGAGAACGATGCTGTGATAGAGAAAGAAGTCCAAGCAAGTTAACATATTATTGAAACAAGGGAAAAGAAGCAAAACAACAAATCTATATATTACTCCAACTCATGACAATTTTTGTAAAAGAAGAAAAGGTAACACAAACCAATTCGATAACAAGAATATTTTCCCTTACTTCTATCCTTCACGATAGAGACGATTAAAGCACATTCCTTAGAACAAAACATGTCCCAAACTTGTTTGAAAGTAATTTACTAAAAAAAAGTAGTTAACCAAAAAAATTGTTTTCATATGTATTTAGTTTAATTTATTTTAAATAAATAATTGTATTTTATTTTTAAAAAAATAAATAGTAATCAATAATTCCTAAACATGTTTTTAAATCCTTTAAACAACCATTTAAGTATAAGTAGAATTAGGTATAAGAATTTGAACAACAAAACTATCATCTAAAATGTTAGTCTATTTAAATGCATATTTATTTGTTTAACTTGTTAACCATACATGTTTTTCTTCTGTGCATAGTGATGAAAACTATTTTTAAAGGTGGATAAAATTAATCAAATTGAACTAAACTGTCAAATAACTAAACTATATTAAACTAACAAAATTAAATTATTTGGGATAAAAACTGAATTGAACAATTTTGTAGTTCAATTTTTCAAAACTAAACTTCTTAAGTTGAAGTGTGGTGCACTGCCAATTAACTTAAAAGGAAAAAAAAACTTCACTCCTTTCAATTTTTCTCAATATCATTGAGATTAGAGTTTCGCTCACTCGTTAGTTGTTATGCCTACGGTGAATTAAAAGAAATTTTCTAATCCTAAAACCCAAATCATCACGATATGAACTTGAACGATGGTGGATGACCTCTCCTTTTATTCAACTTTCACTGTTTTATGAACCCTAAATCCCCAATTTGTTTTTTCTTGGTTAATTAATTTCATATTTATTATGTTTTTTATTTTTATTTTTTATTTTAACCTGTATCCACAAATGATTCGTGAATCATTGTGACTTGTGAGAAGCAATTACCTGAAGAGAAGATTGATGACACTAAATGAAGTTGGATCTTGTTGGAAGTGGCTCCACCAAGTTTTTATAGCCAAACACTGTCAAAAGGAGTTCAATGCGATTTTTAACTAGTAAATGTTTCCACCCAAATTATTTTTAAAGTAATATGCATAAAATTATTTTTTTGGTTTAGTGTAATTTTCAATAATCCAGTTCAATAAAGTTTATTTTGCTCACTCCTAAAAATTTTGTGTATATTATTTTAATTATCTATTACTAGGCTAATCTAATGATCCTATTAACTATATATGTTGGGATTATTACAAGTTAATTAGCAAGTCGAATAAATATTTTTAAATATTAATTATTTATACTTTTATCATTTAATTAAGTATTTGTATAATTATAGTTTAGTATTTAATTAATATTTTTTTTTATTAGTATTTGTATATTTAT